GTAAATACTCTGAATGATGTAGTCTGGATGGAGTAATCTGAATACCAAAGGTTCCACCAGTACAGTAAATACTCTGAATGATGTAGTCTGGATGGAGTAATCTGAATACCAAAGGTCCACCCGTATAGTAAATACTCTGAATGATGTAGTCTGGATGGAGTAATCTGAATACCATTTTCTTTTGATTATGATTTGTGATTCTGTCAGTGAAGTTTAAAATCTTGATGGTAGGTCTTTTTTTATTCATTCAAAATGAGTATGAAGAGACAGAAGGCTGGCTAGCAGAAGTTGGCATTATACTTGAAAGGATCATGGTTCTTTTATTTTTATTTCTGTCATGTAGGCTAAGCTATGAAAAATATATAGTTAAGTCTATATTAGTTGTGTAGTCCTATCTGGGTATTTAATTAGCAGAGGGAATCCTCCTCCAATGTTATGACAAATTTAAATGTCACTGTTAATATATTGCAAGTGAGAAACGACTATCTTGTTGATTGATAGGCCTAAATGTTTGGTAATACAAAAATACATAAATTTTAAACTCGTACATTGCATTTCAGTTTAATAACATGAATTTTGTTAAATTAGTGTGACATATTCAGACTATTTGTCTGTAAGTATAAAATATTGGTGAGTTTTTGGTTTTTTCCATATGAGTCATTAGCATATTCTATGAACTGTAGTTGATCTTTTCTTAGAGGTTTGCTTCTTTGATCTGCTTGTGGATTTTTGTCGCATCAGGAGGGTATCTGTAACAGAGTATGAATGTGATTAGTCATTCAGGTAGCATTTTAAAATACATATTTGATACTATAGAACTTGCAAATGGGGATTTATTTCCACAGCTTTTCTGTTTCATATCTAATGTTGGCTACACCATTTTGGGTCTAAAACAGAAAGAAAGATTGAAGAAAAAAGATAAATTAATCACAGTAGATGTGTCAATTATACTTCCACCTGTAAGTTAAAGTAAAGCAAAGTTAAAATAAAAACAAAACAATTGATACAAAATCTCAATCTTAGCAAAAAAAACAACAAAAAACTTGTCTGCTAAAAGTTAAGTTACAGAAAAATTTGCTAAACAAGAAGAATCAGGCTTTCAGTATAAAACATACACTACATTAAACCAGGTTTGCACATGAAATGTCATTCTGCATGTGACTTGTCCACTCATGCTGGGACAGGGGAATCCCAGGCTCAGTTTCTGATTTACCAATAGAAAAAGATGGCTTTTTATTACTGGATGTCATCTGCTATCTTCCCTGCAAGAAACTTGGTTAATTGCCAATTAGAGGATGAAGTCCCAGACAGAGCTGGCAAGAAGCAAAGTTGTATTTGCTTGAATGACATTCATCACCAAAACTGAACTGAAAGAAAATACAGAAATTTCAAAATTTACATATTAACTAAGGAAGTGAAAAACATATTGTATTGTCCTGTGCTACAAAGTTATATAGAGCAGAAGAAAGCCAAAGTACATCATGCTACTTGTTCTCATTTCACAAGCTTCATGTGCAATACTGAAGTGAAGCCAACTGTTAGAAATAACTAGGTATTGTATTTGCAGTGCTGGAGGGTTGATAAAGGTAGTTAAGTGACACAAACTAAGATGCAGGAGTGAGAATACCTGTGAGGATTTGATTATTTCAGGCCACTCTTATATTGATTTGTTTGACCAGTACTTTAAGGCTGTGTGGTGGTCCATCATTGTGTTGTGTGATAAATCTATAAACAGTGGGTGGATAAGTGCAAAGATTTGGAAGGATCAGTATTTTGAATTTCTATGAAAAACTTACTGAAGGTGTTTAACAGTTATCTTCTCGGGATTTTTTTTTGAGTATTTGAGGTACTTCGCAGCTTACTTCATGTCAGTCACTTAGTTGTTTTAATGAGTGAGAGGAAAGAGAACAATTTTACTTGAGAATAACTAGTGTTAATCATTAGAAATTTGAAGCATTTTTGTTGTTGTATGCGTTTGTACAGCCAATTTTAAAATATTCTGTGTCTTAAACTTTCATAGTAAGTGAAATCAATCATGGCCACACCGCCTCAAGGTTATGGCCGAGGAGGACGTGGAGCTTTGTTAGCAGCATTGGCCAACAAACAGCCACGGCGACCAGGCCAAGGAACAGAAGGACATGGAGATGGGTCTAATACAGAGAAGAAAGTACTTTATTTTTCTTTTATATTCTTCTTTATTTGTGCAGCCTACGCTGTTATGTGAAAGTGTTCAGTTTTTAATTTTCAGGTTCTTTAATTTATTGAATTTTTTAATGAACAGTGGAAAGAATATTCATGATTGGGGATCTAGTCATCAACAGTAATGGTTTTACAACTTTCAAACATATTAAATAAAGAGCAAACATAAAATTGTTTGAAGTTTGTTTTCCTTCAAGAAAAGTTTTAATTGAAAAAATTAGTTTTTAAATCATTTTAAAAATTAATGCAAAATATTTGGAAAAGATATTTAAAAAGTGACAGCATAGAAATGTGTATCTCTTCCTTAACTTTGTATATAATGAAGTAGAACACAACTTGGGTGTATTACTTTACTGTCAAATAAACATGTTAAAACAAAAACTATGGAAAGTGATTAAAATTTTGCTGGTACAAAGGAAAAAATTAAACAAAAAAAAATGTTAACCTTTGTTAAAAAGTATTTAAAACAGTTCAGGCCAAGACAAAAATATAGCAACAATGACACAGTAACTAGTTTCTAGGAAAACAGATGAAACTGAGGTTCAGACAAGAAAATTTAAGACTTGTTGAGGTTTTAAAAGTATTTGTAGGACATTAAATAATGTCTATAAAATTCAATATACTTTCTTTTCTCACGTATTTTATCTGAAAGTATAAGAAGTTGGTGCTCACAAACTTAACCTCTTACATCTTGCCGTTATTTGTGGTAAAGTATTTGTTCAAAATTAAATAAGATATTAAGAGTAGATCACCGGGGGTTGATAAAATAAATTGTTCTCATTTTGGTATTCATGTAATAATAATTAGTTAACCAGCAAGCAAAAAAAAAAACTTCATATTTAAATACTGGAGGTTTCTATTTTTATGACATAAAGTAGTAAATACCCACAAGATTGGATTAATAGAATGTTATTTTATAATGACAAGAATCATATTTAAATACTGAAGGTTTCTATTTTTATGACATAAAGTAGTAAATACCCACAAGATTGGATTAATAGAATGTTATTTTATAATGACAAGAATCATATTTAAATACTGAAGGTTTCTATTTTTATGACATAAAGTAGTAAATACCCACAAAATTGGATTGATTTAATGGTAGTATTTAAATATGATCCTTTTAATTATAAAATGGAGGTTTCTATTTTTATGACATAAAGTAGTAAATACCCACAAGATTGGATTAATAGAATGTTATCTTATAATTAAAAGGATCATATTTAAATACTGGAGGTTTCTATTTTTATGTCATAAAGTAGTAAATACCCACAAGATTGGATTAATAGAATGTTATCTTATAATTAAAAGGATCATATTTAAATACTGGAGGTTTCTATTTTTATGTCATAAAGTAGTAAATACCCACAAGATTGGATTAATAGAATGTTATCTTATAATAAAAAGGATCATA